TTTTTTTTTTTTTTTTTTTTTTTTGCTGTTGTTTGTTTTGAGACAGGATCTCCTGTAGCTCCAGCTGACCTGGAACTCACAGAGATCCTCCTGCCTCTGCCTCCCGAGTGCTGGGATGAAAGGCGTGCGCCACCAAGCCCAGCTGCACAGAACTTTTCATCAGCTCCCCAGGATGTCCAGAAGACTTGCCCCTCAAAAGTTAGATCTCTGAAGCCTGGTTTTCCACTTTGCTTGTCATTCCTCACCCTCCCTCTACTCCGCCTGTACCCAGCATCCTCCAGTTCTGTTTCTGTGTCTCCGCCTCACCTTCCATGCCTGCCTTCTACCTCTGTCACTGTCCCCGTGTGTCTAAACCTTGGCTCTTTAGAAGGTCCGTGTTAAGTGCCGCCTCCTTTGGGAAGTCTTCCACACTCCTCCTAATATCACCTTGGTCCCACATCTGAGCATCCCTGTAAGCAGTATATTTCATCACCTCCCCCTTCTGATTCTGAAGTTTCTTCAGTGTTTCATGACTTAACCGGAAGCTCCTTGAAGACAGTGGGAATATCCAACCACCCTTGGCATCTCCCCTGGTATCCAAAAGAAAGCCTCGATACAAAAGAGGGGCTCGATGAACGTGTGCCCACGTGAGGGATTGAGTGAGTGTGTGTGGTTGAAGGAGTACCTTGCTCATGTTCTATAGGACACTGAATGGAAAAGGGGGGACATGGGCAAGTTCAGAGATCACTGCTCCAGACACCCTAAAGCTAAACCCCTATCCAGAGGTTGCTGCTGGGTCTTGGGATTGGTGAGTGCTTGAATGGAAGGTCTCTGGCAAAGCTGTCTGCCTGGTTCCAGCTCCTGGTCATCCTCCAAGCCAGGAATCCACAGGTGTGAGTTACTCCAGCCTCATCAATGTAAGAACAATGAGCAGGCAGGGACCTGAGGGTTGCTGGCCCACTGTACTGTGCCACACTGTGTGTGTATCCGCCGTCCCCAGATTAAGGTCTGCTCTAGCCCAGGCAGCCATGCATATGTTCTTTGTAAACAGGTATAAGAACTTCATACCACCTGCTAGGAGCACCCCAAGTGACATCTCTGCTCAGTGCCCTTGGTCAGTAGCACTGGGAAGGGTCGAATATTCTGGTACTTGCTTACTGTGGTTTGACAACTGTCTGATGGGAAGAGGGCTCTCAGAAGAAATGTCTGTATTTGAGCTCAAGTCCTTGCTTTGAACTTGACACTGCATCTCTCTCTCACATTCTTTACCGTTTCTGATCATGCATTCATCTTTTGTTTAACTTTCTTTGAGTCATCTTTCCATTTGGGGCTGAGGTTGGGGAGGAGGGTAGAATCATCTCATCTAGAATCTCCAACCCCTGGATCTGAAGCGCAGGATGGGGAGGTCATCAGAGCCTGTGGACAGTCCACTTCTGGCCACTGGTGTGGGACAAGGGAATGGGGTAGTTGTTGGGGAGGTGGGCTGTCTCAGAGCTCACATGCTCTCAAGGAATTTTACTTGGATTTTTCTTGCAAAGGAATTTATCTAAAGCAACTCCCCACCTTGCACAATCAGGAATGCCCCGTCCAAAAGAGCCTGGCCACCCCCACCCCCAGGGAGCAGGGCTTCATTCTGTCTCTGCCTCCTGCTTCTGCCCTGAGACACTGCCCTTCCTGGTACCCTCTTGATACTGTCCATCTATGTCTTTGCTGTTTTTTTGCCTTGTAGTAACTCAGGTTGGTGTGTCCCAAGGACATAATATGTGTCCAGACCCTGGCATACCTGAAAGGGGCAAAAGACTAGGCTCGGACTTCAGGTAAGATCTTCTGGGGAAATTTCTGATTGCAAATGGGGGGTATGGCCTGGGTTGGAGGAGGATGTGGGGTGGAGAGGATGAGATGGGTGCAGGAAGTACCACTTGCTGGGAAAATGCTGTGGTCTTTGATATTCTCTCCTAGTTTGGTCCTTGGAAGAATGTCCATGCCTTATAGGGTGAGGGTGGGGAGTATCAATGAAAACTGCCAATGTTATATCCCAAAGATGTATGTAGCCAGGGCTCAGAGGTCTGCTACCCTTAATGATGGCATGCCTGCAATCATCTGGAGGAACACAGAGGCCTGAGATTGTACATTTTTGCAAAGGTTTGTGCTATCAAGGCATCTTCCCATAATCCTCCATTTTCATCATGGTTTATGGGTACCATCTGCCCACTCTTAGCTGTCCTAATTGATACTTATCTCAGAGCAGCACTTTTGGCTCACAAAGTCTCCTTTTAACTCAATCCTAAAACCATCAAACGGCCCAAAACAACAAAGATGAAGGGCAGCCATGTCTTCCAACAGATTTTAAGTAGTGAATAGCAGATCCCAGATTAAAGGCCAGAAGGAGAAAGAATGTTCCCCAGGGGACTCTTCAGGAGCCAGGAAAGACTCCTTGGGGCAGGCAGGGTTTTACAGGCCCAGGGAACAAACTCACAATAACACCTTGTCTTCCAGGTTAGGATCCAGCGTCCAGTTCACCTGCAGTGAGGGCTATGACCTGCAAGGGTCCAAGCGGATCACCTGCATGAAAGTGAGCGACATGTTTGCGGCCTGGAGTGACCACAGGCCAGTCTGCCGAGGTGAGGAAATCTGGGGAAGGGAGGTTTGCCCAGACAGCCAGGCTGGACCTGGAAACCAGGTCCCTCACTTTGCTCTCTGCTGCTCTCTGGATGTCAGGACCTGCATCATTGGCTAATTACCATACTTATCTAGATCAAGGCCTGAACAAGGAGCAGGCATACAGAGGTGGGGAGACATGACCTCTGCCCTGTATAGACTGCATAGTCTTATGGGGGGAAGCTCCTAAGAAGCAGGTTGCCGACACATTGCACAGAGATCAGAACCACACTCGGATAGGAAAGGGAATCATTCTTTACACTCCTGCCTTAGATCCACCAGTTATAACATGGATGCATCCTGAGTCCTCTGTCCTAGAGCCCTTGTTGCTTTACATGCACTCTGTAGTAAACAGACCCGTGGCTTCTGAAGCAAGGTTTTTAGTCGTACAAAGGTGGCACGGGGCACAGTATCAAAAGGCACTCTATGGGCTTCTCCTAACACTATACCTGGGCATCCTGACACCGACCTCATTCACCCGGGTACTAACAAAGAAGGCCCCACACGTGGCTATTAGGCAGGCTTGGAGAGCTGACAGTTGCTCTCAGAAAACCCCTCTGAGAGGGAAAGTACATTGCCTACTAAAATAGTTGCGTTCTCCATCCTCGTGCCCAAAGGAGAATGCAGGCTTTGTCTCTCAAGCACCTCCATCAAGATGAAATTGGTTTAGAGCAAGAGAGCTCCAGGGAAGAAAATGTAACTGTTATTATAGTAGGGAACACACAAAGTCAGAGCCAAAACCCACTCCCTCTTGTAAATGTGTTGATGAGAGATCTGGAAGAGTCATGAAAACATCTTCCAAATGCTTTTTCTATTCATTCGTACCTACTCAATTCAGAGGTGGCCATGATCCAGTGTACGATGTACTTTAATCCTTTTAACTGGGTTCTTCCAAGGAGCTACGTGGCTACTGTATTTTTTTTGTTTTGTTTTGTTTTGTTTTAAATATTTTTTTTAGAAGAAGCATTTCATTACAGCTTTAACATACTCAATTTCCAGAGTAAAGATACATCTCTTTCAAAAGTGGCTATAAAATTTTTAGGTTCGCTATTGAATTAATACAGTTATACTGTATTAATATTGAACTCAGTATTAGCCCTATAAGACATAAAATTGAATGAATTTTTAACCTTTAAAAAATGGTAGTGTTTATCACCTCTACTAATTAACATGACATAACTTTTTATGCTTCCTCCTTAAATATAATTCATTTTTTTAATTTGTTGATTTTGTGTGTTCGTGTGTGTGTGTGTGTGTGTGTGTGTGTGTGTGTGTATCACACAGAACATCCCAAACTGGCTACTGTTTTTTAATTAAACAAAGAAGAAAAATATTTCCTAGTATAACTCTGAGCATTTGGACAAATCACCTGTTTTCTCCTGGACTTATTTTCTTGCCTTCAAATGTACTCTCTTCTATCTACCTGCACTTGGGGAGTTCATTGTGAAGATCAGGTGGAGTTAAGGGTGTGTGAATACTTTATGAACTAGTGGGTGCTTGAAAGAAAACGGGCATCCTCACGCTGGAGTGTGTAAGGTCTGTTTTGGTCACCATTTGGAACAGGGCCTGGTACACAGTAGGTACTTAATAACACGTTGAATGAGTCAGTGGAATGATGAATAATTGAACAGCACACGAGTCTCCCTGCAGAGACCCAACACACCAGCTGCATAGAAAGGCACAGAGTATTCAGTCTGAAGACCAGGGAATACTTGGCCAACCTGTCATTTTGGAAATCCTTTCAGAAGCCAGAGCAAGGCCTTTAGGCAGTGGTGGGATCTGATCTGTTGCCAAGGCTCTTGCCTTGGAGGAAAGTTGCGTCTCTGGTGCATTTCACCCACCAGACAATTCTTAACACACTTTTGCTGAGTGTTGTGCAGTTTTTAGCTCTGTTCCCGAATTCTATTGTTGAATGAGGCTAGAGGGGATCACAGTTCAAATCCAACTATCACCACTTTTTAGCTGTGTGCCCCTGGGTTCTTTTCCTCACCTCTCTGAGTCCCTTTTTCCTCCCTGCTAAATTGCAGACACACTGGAAACATTACCCCATGGCATCACTTTGAGTGGCTGGGGCGGGGGAGGGTGAACTTGAAAACACTCATTTAGAAGTGGCCCCAGGGGGTCTTCGAGGCTTATGCGCACACCTGTTTAGTTTAACCTGGTACACAGCTGGTCCTTAGCTCAAGCTCCGGAGCAGACTTCATCTTCCAGAAGCTTCAGGTTCTTTCAGGAGGCATTGTCTGTTCCACTATATCTCAGTCCCTCAGACTGAGAGGCACATAGACTGATCTAGATACTAAGTCTGCTGGTTGGTGAGCCCTGGCTGCGGGCCCTCCATCAGCTTTAGCCACAGGGCTCTTGTTTTCGAAGGAGAAAACAAAACCTCTCCTACTTGGTGACTGCGAAGTGGAAGCCAGCCTGGTATTGAAGCCAGGGGTTCTCAGCACTTCCCAGCCGCTGCCTTCCTCCTGGCTCCTCTCTCAGTGGCTACTGAGGGGGAGACAGTGGAAAGACCAAGGCTCCTGGGTGATCGTTCTCCAGTGTCCCTGAAGGCCAAGGTCAGGGCTTGGTAGTTAATGCATCAGTCCTCTTTCCTTCCACAGTCTTTAAGGGATTTCTTTGAAAAATCTTTCGTTTTTAATTAATTGGAATTTCTGCAGTAATGGTGATTTTAGGACAGTTTAGGTGAACTTCACTTTCACTATAAAAAAGGAACAAAAGTCCTTTAATTACAAAAAGCTCCACTGAGAAGCAGGTTACCCAAAGATCACATCTGGAAAGCACGGGCCACCATACACGGGGTATTGTTTTCCCTCTAATGCATTTAAAATATGATTTGGCTTTAATTATTCACTTTCCCACACAATTAATTCTCCTAAAACACAGAGACTGGCAAATAATAGGTTCTTGGTAAATGTCTGAAGGCCACCTGAATGAATCCGATTTGTCATTAAAGTGAATGAGTGAGGTGGAACTGTGCCCTCCCTCCTTCGGGGACCTGAAATTGGGTGTGTTCAGCCTTTCCTTTTCTTCCCCTCCCACCAGAAGAAAGCAGCTTCTGCTTTGACTCCTAGAAAAAATTTAATTAACTGTTTTGAGAGTTTCATACATAAGTGCTGTACTCGCATCATTTCTCCCACCTCTCTCCCCCCTCCAATTACTCCCATGTCATCTCCTCCCCGCAACCCCCTCCGGAAGTCATAAGGCACAGGGGAATCTGAATCTGAATCTTTTCCGCGATCTGTAAAACGGGAGTGGATCGTGGGAACTGTGACACAAACCAGGCTGGACTAGATGTCATGATCGCTACAGATGCCTCAGCTCCTTCTTGATGGCTTTCACTAGATCAGATTCCTGAGCCAACCCCTTAAACACTGCTGTCCAAGTTGCGCTCTCCTCCCTTACCCTCCTCTCCCCTCCCCTTCTCCCCTACCCCCTTTCTCTCTCTCCTCCCCTTCTGTGCCTTCCTTTCCCCCATCCTCTCTTCCCATGCCCTCCCCTCCCCCTTCTCCCCTTCCATGCCCTCCCCTCCCCCTTCCTCTCCCCTGCCCTCTC